AGATTATAATTGCAATTATGCAAAAATGACATGCTTATTTATTGCGATCTTTTGTCGCAATAATTTCAAGAGAACAATCTTAACTACATTTTTAACCATTTTTATATTATTTTTTAAAAAAACAAGCATCAAAATGAATATTAAAGAGAGACCTGACCTCCACGATTCAATGTGACGTAAGTTAGCATACTTTGAAAAAAAAGTTTATTTTTTATATTCAGATCGCGGAAGCAAAAACATTCTTTAACGGGATTTTGCTCTCTGAGAATAGTAGGTTGAGTTGAAGTCCGCCATTTTCTTTGCGTAGACCACACAGGTAAACAATCTTCGGAGGCATCCAAAAGCTTCAAGCTCCACACTTTAAGGTTGTCGCTTGGAAGCGGGCAGTCGATCTCTCCAGCGACCAAATATCCTCCTTTAGAACTGTCCATAGAGGATCCTCGAATGAATCGGCGCCTCCGACTCTAGTTGTGCAACCAGCCCGATCTAAAAAATTCGACGACGAGAATCGGTGTAAAGCGCGATCGAACAGCAAACGATTATGCCAGTAATTCTCTTGATCGGTAGGGCGTTGACAGCCGGAAAGACAGCTAAATTATCTTCGTGCAATTCAAAAGCGGAAAAAACTTAATGTTCTCTGCTTAACCGCGATTCGGTCTCCTGCCCATTATATGACAATGGTCTCCATAAGCCGGTTGTATAAGAATATTAATTGTAATATAGATTTATATTAATGAAATTTATGTATATTTTAATAGTTAAATTCAGATATAGCATCAAAATATGTCGCATAAGTCGTTTTAAGAATATAACCAAATATGTATAAATATATATATATATGTAGATTATATTGTAAATTAGTAATAAATAATGCATAATTTATGTATATTTACAAACGAATAATTTAAATCTTTCGTCATTAATAATACTCATTAAAAAAAATTTTAAATACGAATAATATACGTTATCAAGTCACAATATATATATTAAATTAAATAAACACTTTTTAAGGCGTGCGAATAATTATTTTATAAAGTTACAATATAAAATAATTTTAATAAAAAAAAAATTCTGGATTAGATTCGTTTATTTATTTAATCGTAATAAAATAAAAACCGAATTTTGTTTTTAGCTCCGTAACATTATTTCAAGAGGCACCGATTTACTCAAACGTTGGTCAATTGTGGTTAAGTCAGAGATTTTTTTTAATCAATGCAGGCTAATTATATATTAATTTTATTAAATTTTATCTCCAGTTTCGAAGAATGATTGATGAAATATCCGTAACTATTCCATTTTGGTTCAAAGACATTCTTTTTCAGAAAATAAAAAATAATTCTTATGACTGCAATTCCCCCTTCTTTCCTAAAATATATATTATATTTATTTAGCTTTCTTAAATGTATGCTTTTATTTCAAAGAATTATTATCCATAGCCCAAATATTCTATTTTAGTTTAAAGACCTTTTTTTTTTTCAAAATAAAAAAATTTTTCCTGACGATTTCTAACTCGATAATAAATATATATATATATAAATATTAAATACAGAAACCTTGTTAATTTCCGCCAATTTATTTGCTGAACGTCACAAAATCCCCATAATTTTAATAAAGAAAAATTGTGCTGGCGTAGATTGGTTTATGGATTTAAGCTCTAATCAAAATTTACCACCGAATCTGCCTGTCACCAGTGGCATTACCTCAAAAGGCGACTAATTACCCAACAATGTCAATTTGTCAATTCGACTTTTTTTAATAATAGAATCAATTATATATTGCTTTCTTAACGTTATTTCTATTTCAAAAATGTTATAAAGTATCTGTAATATTCCATTTTGGTTATATAAAATTTTTTTTCAAAAATAATAAATAATTCTTACTAATTGTATCCCAATTTATCCTTATATAATATATTTATTATTATATATTATTATCTTAAATTTTATTCTTTCCTTTCAAAGAATGTTGATGAAGTATACATCAAATATTCCTTATAGTTTAAAAACCTTTTATTTTTTTGTCGAAATAAATAAAATTTCTCTGACTGCAATTCCATTCTCTCATATATATTATATATATATATATATATATATATATATATATGTATGTCAAGAGGTAGCTTTCGGGACGATTTTTGGTATAAATCGGCAGTTTTGAGAACTCTTGGTGGTTTTCAAGTCAGTCCTGAAAGCCATATATGTTTATCGGCAGTTTTAGGAACTGTCCTAAAAACTACCATTCTTTAATTTCTTTATATAAAGTCCTTAAAATTGCCAATAAATATAAAAATTTTATACTAAATACATTTAATTGTTATTATTTACAAGATAAGCTTTATATATGTTGTATATATTTATAAACAATTTAGTTACAGTACTAATTACTTGATTAATCTTATATAAAGTAAATATATAGTCTTTTAATCAACTTTGCTATATATGTTTTTAAAACTGCCGTTAGACATCTTTGCAAATATAAATAAATAATTAAGTAAAAATTATAATTTTAGTATGTTTTTAAAGAAAAATAATTAAAGATGTTTTAAAATAAGATCAATATTTAAACATTTTGATATTTTTTTGTTAAAAACTAATTGATCTGTAAACTACCATTTTACTGTATATATTATATAAACCTATCATTTGCGCCAGATCTTTTAATACTTTTGCTTTTCATACATCCATGTGATTTAAATAATTCATTAAGACCTTACGAACTTCTAATAACTCATTAAGGCCCGTATTCATAATCCGTTCTTATATTTGAGATTGTCTTAAGACATCGTTCAACCAATCAAAAGATGCTATGCGGCCATTTGATTGATTGAACGAGGTCTTAAGATGATCTTAAATATAACAACGGATTATGAATACGGGCCTAAGTGTCGATCTTAGAAGAATAAATACTAAATAAATAAATGGAAAAAATAAAATAAATGGAAAAATTGTAAGTTGATTGACTATCGCATCGTTTTTTGCCGCGTAGCAAGTGTTGCCGCGTTATAGCTGTCACTGTGTTTTGAGTGTAGTTTCTGAATGCAGCCTAAGAAATAGATAGTAAAATAACCTCTTTTAATTTGTGAGACACAGTGTTACACAATGTATTCTTTGAGCAAAAATAAAAATAATTATAAAATAATGCGTAAAAAAAAAAGAAAAACCAGAGGATGGATAATATCTAGTAGTAAGTAGATAAAATTATGTAAAATTTTATATATGTAATTATATCTATGTATCCAGTAAACATTAAATACTAACTAAATTACATTAAATACTAAATAATAACATAACATCTATGTTATAATTTTCTACTGACTATTATTGTAACTGCAACAATGTAATATGCCTTCTATCTATGTAACAGTTAGTGAGAAATTATAACATTGAGGTTATATTACTGTTACTTACTGGATAATACTTGTTAAGTAATAATTTTGTATACAAATATTGTTTTAAGAAAGTTATATGGCTCTTGAAGAAATTGCTAAAAATCTGAGGAATAATATACCAAAAATATATTTAAAACAAATCGACTTAAGTATCACTTCAAGTTCTATGGAAAGTAATGAAGGTGACAAAAAGTTTTATATCATTATATTATTTTTTATATCAATTTTATTTCTTCTAAAAATATACAAATTATTTTTTAGATATTGATGCTAATTTGTTAAGAAATATAGAAAAAAGCAATCAACCAAATATTTCTGAAATATCTCTAGAAAAAAGTAATCAACAAGGTATGCGCTTTGATATCCATGTTTATATAAACTTATTTCTTCATAAAAGTAATATCCGTAGAAAAGCAATACGTAGCTGAGATATTTAGCTATCTTTTATTTAATATTTTTTCATAAAATATTCATTATCGATCATTTAGAATAATTATAGTTCCTTTTTTAGATATTCAACTAAGTATTTCTGAAATATCTCCAGAAAAAAGTAATCAAGGTGTGTGCTTTAATCCATGTTTATATAAACTTATTTTTTCATAAAAGTAATATGCGTAGAAAAGTAGCATATAGCTGAGATATTTACCTATCTTTTATTTAGTATTTTTTCATAAAATATTAATTATCAATCATTTGCCATAATTATTTATGCTTTTTTAGATATTCAACTAAGTATTTCTGAAATATCTCCAAAAAAAAGTAATCATCAAGGTGTGTGCTTTGATCCATGTTTATATAAACTTATTTCTTCATAAAAGTAATATGCGTAGAAAAGTAGTATGTAGCTGAGATATTTACCTATCTTTTATTTAATATTCTTTTTATAAAAATATTAATTATCAATCATTTGGAATAATTATAGTTCTTTTTTTAGATATTCAACCAAATATTTCTGAAATATCTCTAGAAAAAAGTAATCAACAAGGTATGCGCTTTGATATGTTTCCATGTTTATATAAACTTATGTCTTCATAAAAGTAATATGCGTAGAAAAGCAATACGTAGCTGAGATATTTAGCTATCTTTTATTTAAGATTTTTTCATAAAATATTCATTATCGATCATTTAGAATAATTATAGTTCCTTTTTTAGATATTCAACTAAGTATTTCTGAAATATCTCCAGAAAAAAGTAATCAAGGTGTGTGCTTTGATCCATGTTTATATAAATTTATTTTTTCATAAAAGTAATATGCGTAGAAAAGTAGCATATAGTTGAGATATTTACCTATCTTTTATTTAATATTTTTTTTATAAAAATATTAATTATCAATCATTTGGAATAATTATAGTTCCATTTTTAGATATTCAACCAAATATTTCTGAAATATCTCCAGAAAAAAGTAATCATCAAGGTGTGTGCTTTGATCCATGTTTATATAAACTTATTTCTTCATAAAAGTAATATGCGTAGAAAAGTAGTATGTAGTTGAGATATTTATCTATCTTTTATTTAATATTCTTTTCATAAAAATATTAATTATCAATCATTTGGAATAATTATAGTTCCTTTATTAGATATTCAACCAAATATTTCTGAAATATCTCCAGAAAAAAATAATCAACAAGGTATGCGTTTTGATTCATGTTTATATAAACTTATTTCTTCATAAAAATAACATGCACAGAAAAATAATAACATTATTTGGTATTAGTTCATTTTTTAGATGTTCAACCAAGTATTTCTCAAACTAATCTTTTTGAAATACTAAATGATAAAACAATTGATAATACAGGTAATATAACTAATTTAAATATTGAAATGTTATGTTTAACTGCATGATAAGCATTATTACATATAAATATAAATATTCTATATCCATTTTTGATAATAATGATACTAATTTTGTTACAATTGTATTTTTGAATAAATTTTTGGAAATTTTAAATTTTAAATAAAGAAGAAACAGCCTATCTACAAAATAATATTTATAATTCATATTCAGTTTATTATTTTCATTTTGAAGTTAACTTGTTTAATTAATATTACAATATTAATTAAATATTTTAATTTACAAGCAAATTTATCATGAATTTTAATAATTTTTTAGATTTAAATATTAATTTTTCTAAGCATTATTACATATAAATATAAATATTCTATATCCATTTTTGATAATAATGATACTAATTTTGTTACAATTGTATTTTTGAATAAATTTTTGGAAATTTTAAATTTTAAATAAAGAAGAAACAGCCTATCTACAAAATAATATTTATAATTCATATTCAGTTTATTATTTTCATTTTGAAGTTAACTTGTTTAATTAATATTACAATATTAATTAAATATTTTAATTTACAAGCAAATTTATCATGAATTTTAATAATTTTTTAGATTTAAATATTAATTTTTCTATGAACGAGGATATCTCTTTGGAACATATATTGAATTCATCTTTTACTACTTTAGTAGAAATAAATGCTCAATATAAGGAAGTGACAGAAATAATAAATGACTCCAATGGTAAAGTATTGTATAATAATTTAATTGTTTTTATGTAAACTAGAGTGGTCATATGTCACATAAATTGTATGGATATAATGAATTTATACAAAAGAGTGTGTATATGTGTGAGAGAGAAACTTTTTTATTTAATTATTATAGTTAAAAAATTATTGCTAATTAGTTAATCTAGTATGTATGTACTAGTTAATCTATTATGATTTATTCTCGTAGGTATTAATTCTAACGTTGCAGAAGACAATATTCAAAATAAAACTTTAAAACTTTGTCAAATAACAACAGTTAATCAACAAGGTAACAATACAATTTATATCTATTTGCTTCCAAATTAAACGTTGTTACATATAATTTTATAACGAACATAATATGGTTATTTTAATATAATGTATTATTAATAGATTAATATGTATGTATATTTTGTTATATAATGTCATGCCAAAGTTTTGATATTAGATACACGAGCAAAATCTTTAAAAAATCCTTAAGAACTATATGTAAATAAAGATAAATTAATCAAACAGATAATTTAATAAATTAGATTAAATTCTTTATTTTATTGAACTTTTTGAAGAACTTATAAGGTATCTGTTTATAAATAATTACAATTAAAAATTTTCATAACTTTAATAATATTATAGAAAGCTCTCTATAAACATATAGCATGTATAATAGTTTTGAAATTTATTTTTAAGTATTTTAAGTATTCTAAGTATTCTATTTTTCTCTTTTGCATCTTTGATATAATTATTGATATTGAAAATATATATATATATATATATATATATATATATCTATTACACATTAATATATATATATATATATATATCTATTATACATTAATATAACATATTAATGTATATTCATTACGTATTACATCAAAAATTATACATTTTGATTTCAGACAATATTTATGAAGACAGTGAGGATTACAATAATGATCCAGATTATGATGTTTCCAATGATTCAGATGATGAATCAAATATTTCTATTTTTGAAAGCTTTGATAAAAATGAAAAGTCTAATACTACAAATGATAGTCTTAATACCTCGAAATATGAAGAAAAAGCAAATTGTGATGATACAAATCTTATTGTGCTTAAATCTCAAGAGAAAGGACAAAATAAAAAATATTTTTGCAAGTATTGCAAAAAATTACAAACTAAATTTGCACGACACTTAGAGACTGTTCATAAAAATGAGGAAGAGGTAAAAAAATTTATTTTGCTTCCTAAAGGTAAATATAATATATAATAATCTATACACATCATTTTGAATCAAATGTTGCATTATACATATCTTTATTAAAAAATGTTTATATTATTTTTCTTTTATTTTTATATTATTTTTCTTAGGTAATTCAGAAAGAAAGGCCATCATAGAGACTATTAGAAAAGAAAGTAATTTTATATATAATACTAGTTCGCAGTTTAATACAGGAGAATTGATAGTATCTCGGAGACCTTCGAAAATTAACAAACTTGCATCAGAATATATTTGTTGTCCAAAGTGTAAGGGCTTTTATACAAAAAATAATGTAAGACATCACTTTCAAAATTGTAACAAAAGAAGTATTGGCAGACATGTTATGGTACTTGGTAGAAAAGTACAAGCACGGATACACACTAAAGCCAGTGATATGGTTAGAAAAGTAATCTTCCCAATTATGAGAGATGACAATGTGTGTAGAATAATAAGATATGATGAGTTAGTGATACTTCGCGCAAATAAATTATGTAATAAATTTAGGAATCAACGCCACCATGATATGATAAGAGCAGAATTAAGACTTTTAGGTCGTTACTTAATTTCTATTAAGAAATTTAATTCAAATATCACTAATTTTGCCTCAATATATCAACCGTGCAATTATGATTCATGCATTTTAGCTGCTAAAGATGTAGCTCAATTTAATCCTGATACTAATAAATTTAAAACACCGTCTGTCGCTACACGACTTGGTACGCTCTTAAAAAAATTAGGAAACATATTATGTACTGAATATATAAAAAAAGATGATAATGAGGGTTTAAGAAAGGTAGAAAATTTCTTGAAACTTTTAGAAGAAGATTATGGAGCAACAATAAATAAAATAGCAGAGGAAACTGTAACGCAAAATAAAAGACATAATAAAATTGAATTACCAGATATGGAGGATATCCAGAAATTATATAATTATTTAAAAGAAGAAAGAAACATATTGTATAGTGAGCTTCTTAAATCTTATAATTACAGTACATGGTTAGAATTATTAAAAGTTACGCTTATTTCTATGCAAGTTTATAACAGAAGAAGAGCAGGTGAAATAGAAAAAGTTCTAATAGAAGATTACAAAAGTTTTAAAAGTGTAGGAGAACACACAGATTCTGAAGTGTACAATTCATTATCAGAGTCTGGAAAAGAGGTAATATTATTTTAATAATTATTAAATAAATAAATTATTGCGTTAAAATATATTTTATATCTAATAATTTATATTTTTCTTCCTTTAAATTATTTATATTTTATTAATTTTAATGCATAAAATTTATAATACTTTTATTATATTTATTCTATAATAATTTTTCTTTTATGTATTTTTTTCTGTTTGTTGTATTAGGCTATTAAAAAATTCGTTACATTTGATATTAGAGGTAAACTAGGTCGTACAGTTCCCGTATTGTTGCATTCACAATTACAAGATTGCATCAAATTATTACTGCAACATAGATTAAATGCAAAAATAAAATCAGAAAACCCTTACCTTTTTGGCATTCCTGGATACGATAAACATCGATATAAGCATTTGAAAGCGTGCATTCTTATGCGAGACTATTCTTCAAAATGTGGAGCAGCAAAACCTCTTACTTTACGAGGCACCAAACTACGAAAACATATTGCCACAAAATGCATCACACTTAATCTTTCAGAATCGGAAGTTACAGAGTTGGCAAACTTTATGGGTCATGATAAAAGCATACACAAATCGCATTATCGACAGTCAATTCCTGAATTAGATATTCCAAGATTCTCCCGACTTCTAAATCTAGCTATTTTTAATGAGGAAAATGACAATGAAGATGGAGAAATTGAGCAAAATCTTATTTCTGAGAATTTAAATGACTCATCTGAATCCTCTCATTCTGATGATATTGAAATTAATAATAATATACCATCATCAAAAACACCTAAGAAAAAACGAAGCAGTAAGCATATATTTTAAATCATTTTTTGCATTATATAATAAAATTTTTATTTTGTAATTTCTGTTACATTTATAATATATTAATAATATATAATAGCTCTCTTTCTATAAAAAAATAATAACTGTAATTATTACAATTACTAAAATGATAACCTTTTCTTTAATATTTATCTTAACTAATAACTTTAACATTATTTTAATATGCAAAGTGTCCTAGAGTAAACGTATCAAATGTTACTAGCATATTCTTGAAATCATTTTGAGATGAAAATCCTATAACAAAATATCGAGGCTATAATAAGTTTTAAAACATTAAAAGTTAGCTAGTCATTGCGCTATTCAGTCAACTATATACTGTACAGTCACTGTACATCGTACAATAATAAAGATGATTGAATAACTTTAAATGCTTCTCATTTAAAAACTATTTTAGCCTAAAGATTTTAATATCATAAGATTTTTATTTTAAAATGATTTCAAGAATGAGCTAATAATCTTTCCTGCATTTGATTTTGGACTGCATATTAAGTAAACATTTTATATTATTAATATTTTATTTTATAAATTATACATATGTTTCTTATATAATAATTAGCTGTACTAAGTTATTCAATAAATTAATAATATAATTGCTAGCATCACCATTTGGGCCAACTAAAAGGAAGCGATGGACGCAAAAAGAAATTCAAATAATATTAACAGATTTTTCTCAAGAAATAGAAAAATCACGCTTACCATCTGGAAGAGATATTGAGACTTTAAGACAAAAACATTCATGTCTACAAAAACGCACAGTGCCGCAGATAAAGACATGGCTTCATAATATTATAAGTGGTAAAACAAAAATTCCAAAGATTTAATTAATTTTCATAATATATTATCCTCCCAGAAATATTTTTAATATAAATTTAAATATAAATTATTATTAAATATTCTCAAAATAATAATAACTAGAAGTATAAAATTACTTAACTCAAAAATATTTAAATAAAAAATTTATCAATTTTTATTTTATTTTTAAATATATTAACGTGCTTAATAAAAGTTTTTTGCACAAATTTTATACAACATGATAAAATTAAGTTTCTTGTAATTTGGTTTTAACTATAACTAAGAAAATACAGTTTAAGTACATTTATATGCAAATTTTGTTATAATATATGTGGCTAAACTTTTAGTCTTTTTTATTAGTATGTTAAGCAATAATTTAGTTTTGAAAAAAAGATTCTGGTATTCCAAACTATGAAAGAATTTACAGTATTATGAAGAGATTGTTGTAATAGATATAAGATTACAAAATGTATTATAGTTAATAGAAAAATTTTATATCAGATGAGATTTTGATGTATGTTAAACAGTACAATGTAGTACAATATTTTCTGTTGTTAAATCTGCAAACTATTATAATATTAAAAGATTCTTTCCTTAAAGTGCTATATAAAACTGATACAAGTGATAAGACTGTATTAAGAAAAAGTTAAAATGCATTGTTATGTGATAGGTATAACAAATAAATTATATTTTATAAAATATTGTTATAACAAAATCCCTATAATGTATTACCTCAAAAAAAGAAATACAACTTTGAGTGTGTATTAATAATAAATTTTATGAAAAATATTTATTAATTATTGTTTAATATTATTATTTATTATTTAGTGATTACTTTTACCTTGTAACAGATGCGATAAGATACGATAAGATATATAATACATTACTAATTTACTAATATTTTGATTAATAATTTACTTACAATCTCAAAATATCTCATATTTCCCAAATTCTTAAAAGTACATACATATATGTTTTATTCAGGGTCAAGATTTAAATATTTGATCGTCTTTCTTGTTGCCTAAAAAAAAAGACTTAGAAATGCGGATACTAAAAAAGAATTGCATAGAAAAGGGTAGAATAATAATATATAAAAAAAAGAATTAAATTACTCGCTGAAATCCTAAGTACAATGTAAGAAATTGTACACAAAAAAAATATTAAATATTTCTTGGCTCTTGTTGCCTATCTTACACTTTAAATTTATATTTATATTACAGAGCCGTGTTAAACTCTTAACTTATACACGCTGGCTTAAAGGCGTTTGTTTATCAACATTATTATAGATATAACAGAGAAAAGTATAGAATCGAAGGGATCTGAATAGCTCAGTTGGAAGAGCAGTCGCCCGGCAAGCGAAAGGTCTCGGGTTCGATTCCCGATTCAGCGACTTTCGGATCTATATTTTTCTCTTGCATTTATTTATTTCCGTAGGGGGGTTAAAGGGTTATTGAAATTAAATCTCAAATATGAGATTATTTCATATTTTAAATCTTGGCAGTGACCAAGTAAAAATTTGGTGCCTTGTGCACAGATATTTAATTTTAACGAAAAAATTTAGTTTCGTTGGGATAGCGCGCTGCCTTCCGCAATTGGCTCTTGTTGCCTATCTTACACTTTAAATTTATATTTATATTACAGAGCCGTGTTAAACTCTTAAATTAAATATTTCCTTTTTAAATTCATATTTGATTAATTATGATACATTCCTTTTTTTTCTCTAGCATAATATTAAAAAAAACAGAATGGAATAAATTTTCTTCTCTTTCAGTCCGTTCTCTTTCATGTATTAGTGAGCATTTTAGCATATTATAGACTTCAATGCAAAGAAACAGACTATTAAAATTAAACATAGACAGGTTAAACATTTCATAATAATAAAAAATATTATTTTCCTTAAATTTATTAAATAATATTAATTTTCCTTAAATAATTACATTGATAGAGATTTGCCCATCATAGATCATTTAAACTAATAATGTAACATTCTCAAATAAATCATAAAGAAACATACAAAAGAAGAGCTTTGTAAAGTACGTCGATAGTGTTTAGAAAGCCAAAAATATTAAAGATCTTATAAGATGGCAGCTTTCAGATCTATACATAACAGCAAAATGGCAGTTATCAGACCGTTGACTTTTTGACAAGACCGAAATGAAATCCATTTGATTCATTAGTTCGATAGATATTTGTCAATCACAAGACAAAGTAATTTTTAAAATTATTAAACAAAATTCAGTTCCCATAAGTTTGTCATTTAAATCCGCTTTTGTTCCGCAGATTAACTAAGACCGATGTGCAGAATTAATGTTTTAAGTCACGTTAAACTAATACTGCAACATGTTTCACAGCAAACATTAAATGAAACAAATAACAGCTATATCAGGTATTGGAATTACGCGTAAACGCTGAAACAATTATACTGTTTTGCTCAATTGGTAGATTTCAGGTCTATACATAACAGCCGAATGGCAGTTTCCGATCCATTGATTATTTGACAAGAGATGACCTAAAAATTGATTCATTATTTCGATAGATACTTGTCCATCAAGAAAAGATGTAATTTTAAAATTATTTATACAAAATTCAGTTTCCATGAATTCTTCATTCAACCCGATTTCGTTCCGCAGATTAACTAAAACCGATATGCAGGATTAACGTTTTGGATCACGTGAAACCAATATTGCGACATGTTTCGAAGCAAATATTAAATGAAACATATAACAGCTTTAGCAGATATTGGAATTACGCGTAAACGCTGAAAGAATTATACTGTTTTGCTCAATTGGTAGATTTCAGGTCTATACATAACAGCCGAATGGCAGTTTCCGATCCGTTGATTATTCAACCATAGATGACCTAAATTCTTAAGTCTGTTTGATTCATTATTTCGATAGATACTTGTCCATCAAGAAAAGATGTAATTTTAAAATTATTTATACAAAATTCAGTTTCCATGAATTCTTCATTCAACCCGATTTCGTTCCGCAGATTAACTAAAACCGATATGCAGGATTAACGTTTTGGATCACGTGAAACCAATATTGCGACATGTTTCGAAGCAAATATTAAATGAAACATATAACAGCTTTAGCAGATATTGGAATTACGCGTAAACGCTGAAAGAATTATACTGTTTTGCTCAATTGGTAGATTTCAGGTCTATACATAACAGCCGAATGGCAGTTTCCGATCCGTTGATTATTCGACAATAGATGACCTAAATTCTTAAGTCTGTTTGATTCATTAATTCGATAGATAGTTGTCAATCTGGAAATAAGTAATTTTCAAATTATTTACACAAAATTCAGTTTCTATGAATTCTTCATTTGAATCCGATTCCGTTCCGCAGATTAACTAAAACCGATGTGCAGAATTAATGTTTTGGATCACGTGAAACTAATACTGAGACATGTTTCTAAGCAAACATTAAATGAAACATATAACAGCTTAGGAGGTACTAGAATTACGCGTAAACGCTGAAAGAATTATACTGTTTTGCTCAATTGGTAGATTTCAGGTCTATACATAACAGCCGAATGGCAGTTTCCGATCCGTTGTTATTCGACAATAGATGACCTAAATTCTTAAGTCTGTTTGATTCATTATTTCGATAGATACTTGTCCATCAGGAAAAGATGTAATTTTAAAATTATTTATACAAAATTCAGTTTCCATAAATTCTTCATTCAACCCGACTTCGTTCCGCAGATTAACTAAAACCGATATGCAGGATTAACGTTTTGGATCACGTGAAATCAATATTGCAACATGTTTCGAAGCAAATATTAAATGAAGCATATAACAGCTTTAGTTGATATTGGAATTACGCGTAAACGCTGAAAAAATTATACTGTTATGCTCAATTGGCAGATTTCAGGTCTATACATAACAGCCGAATGGCAGTTTCCGATCGGTTGATTATTCGACAATAGATGACCTAAATTCTTAAGTCTGTTTGATTCATTAATTCGATAGATACTTGTCTATCTGGAAGAAAGGAATTTTCAAATTATTTACACAAAATTCAATTTCTATGAATTCTTCATATGAATCTGATTCCGTTCCTCAGATTAACTAAAACCGATGTGCAGAATTAATGTTTTGGATCACGTGAAACTAATACTGAGACATGTTTTTAAGCAAACATTAAATGAAACATATAACAGCCTAGCAGGTACTAGAATTACGCGTAAATGCTGAAAGAATTATACTGTTTTGCTCAACTGCTAGATTTTAGGTCTATACATAACAGCCGAATAGAAATTTCCGATCCGTTGATTATTCGACAATAGATGACCTAAATTCTTAAGTCTGTTTGATTCATTAATTCGATAGATAGTTGTCTATCTGGAAATAAGTAATTTTAAAATTATTTACACAAAATTCAGTTTCTATGAATTCTTCATTTGAATCCGATTCCGTTCCGCAGATTAACTAAAACCGATGTGCAGAATTAATGTTTTGGATCACGTGAAACTAATACTGAGACATGTTTCTAAGCAAACATTAAATGAAACATATAACAGCGTAGGTACTAGAATTACGCGTAAACGCTGAAACAATTATACTGTTTTGCTCAATTGCTAGATTTTAGGTCTATACATAACAGCCGAATGGAAATTTCCGATCCGTTGATTTTTCGACAACAGGTGACCTAAATTATTAAGTCTGTTTGATTCATTATTTCGATAGATACTTGTCCATCAGGAAAAGATGTAATTTTAAAATTATTTATACAAAATTCAGTTTCCATGAATTCTTCCTTTAACCCGATTTCGTTTCGCAGATTAACTAAAACCGATGTGTAGAATTAACGTTTTGGATCACGTGAAACTAATACTGAGACATGTTTCTAAACAAATATTAAATGAAACATATAACAGCTTTAGCAGGTATCGAAATTACGCGTAAACGCTGTAAGAATTATATTGTTTTGCTCAATTGGTAGATTTCAGGTCTATACATACAGCCGAATAGCAGTTTCCGATCCGTCGATTTTTCGGCAATAGATGACCTAAATTTTTAAGTCTGTTTGATTCACTAGTTCGATA